AAGGAAGGAAGGAAGGAAGGAAGGAAGGAAGGAAGGAAGGAAGGAAGGAAGGAAGGAAGAAAGAAAGAAAGAAAGAAAGAAAGAAAGAAAGAAAGAAAAGAAAGAAAGAAAGAAAGAAAGAAAGGGAAATAAAAAAGAAAGGAAAACCATCCAAGTCGGTCTCCACGGTGTCTATCTTTCAAAAGAACACCTCTTATCTAGCTAAAAGTGTGGTGTCCAGCAGCCATCTTCCCACCTCTCTCTGACCATCTCACTCCTAAGATTAGCTCATGTCAAAACACCTCATCATGGTTGACTTAACGATGTGAGTTAAGAAGAAATGAGGTTAGTAGAGTTTTAGCAGAAAAGCCTTTTTCTGGGAGTCTGAACAATCAAAGCTCAGCCACTTGTCCAGGTACACTGGTCAAGAAGAGGAACAATAGCCAAAGGTGTTGAGAGGAAGGTTGATGTGGTCAATTGAAAGAAGAAATAAAGGGATCCAGTTTCCTCATTGCTGTTTTCAAGAGATGAACATTCAGTTCTTACAGAAAAGGTGGGGGGAGAGAAAATAGGCATGTGTACACAAGATGGAACACGTGACCTCGGTCTGAGTCAGCACTGTCTCATTTCTGGTTCTTCAATGGATGTTTGTGAAATTGTTTTTGCTGTCATCATTTCATGGGACTTCTCATGGTGCAGCCTCCATGTAATCAGCAATAATCTTCCTCCTTGGAATTCATTAGTTACTTTTTCCATTATTATGATAAAATGGTTGACAAGAACAACTTTAAAAGAAGGAAGGATTGTTTGAATGCATAATTTCTGGTGACAGTCTATCCTGGTGGAGTCACAGGGCAGGAGCTTGAGAACATGCTGGTCATGTTGCCTCTGTAGTTGGGAAATGGAGCAAGATGAATACTAGTGCAGTTTTGTTCAGCTGTTTTTCTCCTTTTTATGTAGTTTGGGACCCCAGCCCACAGGATGATATGGCCCATATTTGAGGTGAATCTTCCCACTTCAATTAGTCTATTCCAGAAAAGTCCTCACAAACATGGCCAGTAATTCTACATTCTATCAATTTGACAATAACTATCACAGGTGAACCATCCTTCATTTTTGAGAATAGTGTATGTCTTTTGTCAAAAGATGCTTACCAATCAGTTGCATCATTTTTTAAACCCAAGAAAATGACAGGAAGACTGTGGGAAAAATTAAGTTAAAGAAATAAACATGAACTACAAAAAAATAAAATATAGAATAGAGTTAAAACTGTCAATGTTGTTTCCTCTCATTCAATAGATATTTTATTTTAAAATTCTTAGTCATATAATATTTTTACTTTTTGAAAGCATAATATTACAACTTTCCTCTTCCCTTTCCTTATTCTGCCCCTCCCACACACACCTTGCTTGCTTTCTTAAATTCATGGACTCTGTTTAATTGCTGTTTTACAGACATATACACACACGTACACACACTCTCATATACATATGTATGTATAATCCTAAATATGTAAATGCAACCTGCTCACTCCACATATACCTATGGTTTCCCATCAAAATTGCTGCCTAAATGAGACCTGAACAATTATGACACCAATGGATGTGCTAACATGCAAGGGAGAAAGGTCAAGGGGCCTCAAGCCCAGAACAAAGAATTTTGGAAAACTGGTGAATGCTCAGAGCAGGAGAAATGGTGTTCCCAAGAGAATAGTCCAGTTGGTTATGCAATACCAAGTGTTAGCCCTCAGATCATATGCAAAGATGTTACTGCTTACTTACAAACCAATAATTATATGGTAGAATGTTAACAAGGGAGGAAAATAAATTAAATGATTTAGTGAAATTTTGAGTTTTGGCTAGATTACACCAGAAATGAATACAGGGCATTATACCAGTAGAGAGAGGTAGTTTTAGAAGAATGGCCAGGAGGTAATTTTGGAACAACTATGTCATAATCGAGAATTCTATTTCTGTCTTCAGATGGTTTGGATAGCATCATACTCTTTTTATTGTTCTTGTTCCAAGTGTCAGACAAACTCATCTAAAATACATTAGACAATGAAGAATATATATTGGCTTCTGTAATTGAGAAGTGCAAAGCTAAAGAAAGTTTAGCCCAAGGGTGCTGTCAGAGTCTATTTGCCATCTCTGAGGCGTGCTCTCTAAGACTGGCTTCATTCTTACACAGCCATCCTCATGATGTCCAAATGGTTACTGAAATCCAAAGCACCATACTCATACATTGGCAAGAACATCTCTGACACAGCTATTTTAGAAGATGTAGGGGTATCATTTGGCTGTCTCTAAACAAAATGTGCTGATGGCCTAGGCCCCTTTCCGTGGCACAGTTTCAAACTGAATAGTGTGGTAGTATCACCTTCATTAGACTTTAGTAAAGCAGGACCCATCTCTAAATCTTGGGTAATATCTGTTTCCTCTCAAGCATTTAGGTAGCATTGGAGGAGGAAGATAATACAAGAGAATCTTGGGATTTTCTAAGATGTGATGAACATGATGGTGAAGAAGTCAGCATATCTTCCCCTTTCTGAATATAATTGTCTATGTGCTGCCATTTAAACAAAAGCATCAATGTTCACTTGATACAGTCATAGATTTCTTTGAGTTTATGGTCTTACAGATTTCCAGGGATATATACTCCTTGTTGGTCATTGTTCTAAAGCTTTGGTCACATAATTGAACAAGTCACACATTCCTCCCAGGCTATACCTGCTTCTTGGGAGTCTCAGGTCTCTCCTCTCTGGACTTTGTAGAACTTCAGGAAGAGTGGGCAATGGAAGCTCACAGAGGCTTATTTTTATCCACAGCTATTTACTCTGGGAAATGCATAATGCATGAGAAACTGTCACAATCAAGACTGTGCTTGTCACATAAAACCCAGTCCTCCCCAGATTTCATTATTTCCGGTTAAGACCATTGCTCTGCTGCAGTCCTTAAGTGCAGGCACAGTTGAGGTCTCATAACTACACGATTTTATTTATTTTTATTTTCTGATACTTCACTCAGTGTGTGTGTGTGTGTGTGTGTGTGTGTGTGTGTGTGTGTGTGTGTGTGTGTGTGTACATGCAGGTTAATGTTTGTATGTGGAGGTCAGAGGGCAACTTTCAGGAGTTGGTTCTCTCCTTCCACTGTGTGTTCCAGAGAGTATACACAGATCATCAGGATTGTGTGACAAATGTTTTTATTTCCTGAGCTATATCTGTGGACCATAATTTTAAAGAGTTATTATATTACAAATCACATTTCTATAAAAAAACTGTAATTTTCCAAATCCTGTATTGTGATTAGACACTTCTAGCACAAGCTGAACTAACCTTTAAAGCACTTTTCATGAGCAACAGTATATAATGCCTTACAAAAAAGCTAGCACTCACTGATTAGAATTCTTTAGATTTCCATTTCTTCAATACTGTCAATAATGTGATAATTTTCCATCAAAGGACCTATCTTTCCTTGTCTACATCCCTATTCCTCTTCCCTCTAGAGACTCTGCTTCTCTGTTGCCCACCTGCTGCAGCTGCTGAGCATGGGCCCTTCCCTCCACCTGCCCTCCTCTCGCATTTGTTCCTTGTGTGGTGAAGTATTTTTAAGTACTTGAGCAGTCAAGTTTTTTCATTCTTGGCTTCTGATGTTCCCTTTTCCTGGAAGCATGTGTGTGTCCAACCTTGGCTGCACATTGTAATCACTGAAAGGGCTTTGAAATACCTTATTGATGAAGAAGCACCCAAGAAATTAAATTAGACTATGTGGGTGAGACCCAGAAATCTGTATTGCTTTTCAAATTCTCAGGTGATTCCAGGGCTCAGCCAGATGGAGAATTTTTTCTTTAGTCTCGCACCTTCTGATTCTCATTCACATCTAAGTATAATGGCAGAGAGACAAATTCCTTTCCTCCTCAGACTAGCACTGGGCTTCTGCAGTCCATATATTTCTGAATGGCTGTACTGAACAGTTTTTAACCACAAGGACAGACATGGTATCAATGGCTGTCTCTCATGTATAGCTTGAGTCCCTAGAATAATAGGAAATCAATAAATATGAGCTGATTAATCCTGGTCACTAGGACAGTGCCATTGAAGTCAGACTGCTGGCCATACTGAGAGCAAGATGAGTGATGGGGACATGGCACACATGAAGCTTCCATCATCTCCAGTCCCTGCTCCCAAACGTTTAGCAAGATGGAGGCTACTGCCCCATGGGAAGCAAGTGATTACATTTCTGAATCACTAAAAGGAACAATACAACACAAACATAAGCACTATTGTAAAGAGCAGCATTTTCCCTCACACTTCAAAGTAAATCTGTAAGAATGGTGAATGAGCTTACAGATTTGGCATGTCTTAATTCCTTTCTGAGAAATCTACAGGTTTGCTTAATTCCTTTTCATAAAGCATCTGCTACACACACACAACACACACACACACACACACACACACACACACACACACCACAACCTCAAGCAAAGTGCTCTGGGTGTAAGTTAATATGGAGTGCATGCCAGATTTCCAAACACTCAAATAGAAAATAGAACAGTTTATCCTTATTCAGTTTAGTTTTGACTCCCTGCTCAGATCTTCTGCCCCAGCTCAGATCCCCGTTCAGTGAGAACAGCAGTCGAAATCAGTACTGTTGTTTCACCCCTGCTGGGCTCAAACTGTGCCAGATGAAATCCTAAAAATAGTTCTCTAGTCACCTAGTATAGATTACTGAGTCTTCTACCTGGAACTTTACCAGGTAATGTTAGACCAGTTGAACAAATGGTTGAGCGATTTTCTTCAGAGATTGGCAACTGTCTAATAAGAGCATTGCTGTCATGTAGTTCTATGACCAATTGAACAAACAGTTGAGCAGTTTTCTTCAGCGATTGGCATCTGTCTAATGAGAACATTGCTTTCATGTAATTCTATCTACACACATACACACTTATTCTCACACATTGAAAGCTGTGGAATATATTATGCAGAGTAACATCAGGAAAAGAAGCAGAAAGTAGTAGGATTACAAATGGCTATGGCTTGTCAGAATACAGATAGCTGCAAATCAGAACCTGGAATTTGCTTCCAGCAGTGGGAACAGACTCTGATTAGACATTTAAATTACTTTGGAAAGGTAGGGTGCTGGATTTCATCCATTTCATTTAGTTATTCCTTAATGATCTTGTAATTAATAAAAACCATATTAACCAGAATGGACCCTTTCTTTAAATGAATCTCAAGGTTTGATTACTTTTGGATTCAGGTTAAAATTTAATTTTTAGCCAGTTATTATTCTAATACTTAGGAGTAAAACTGCCCAGCTTGAATGTCAAATCCTAAGGTGAGCTTGATTATTGAATTTTCCAAATGCATTTCACTGTGTCTGACATACATGGGAGGAAATATTGCTGAAGATTTAACATAGTATTTAACACAGAATAAAATCTTCATTATACAATGGGAAAAAGGAAATAAAAATGATTTTCAAAGGAAAATAGTTATTTATAAGAAACATTTATTTGAAAACTTATACATCTTTTTTTCCTTAAAATGTGTTGGTAATATATAAATGCCTTTTAAAGGTTAGAGTTGTTTGACTTATGAGATTAAAACGTCATTTCAGATGGTCACAATATTATAATAGTCAGGTCTGAGGGCTCTAGCCTTTTTCCTACAAACTAAATAAATATGAGTAACTAAAAAATTGTGTTTACATTGTTCTGAATTCAATATTTCAAAAATTCTGTATTTTTTTTAAAAAGTTGACAGGCTGCAAGAGTTTATGATTATAATTTCAGAATTCTGAGATACTCCTGAAATAAATTATCACCAAATAATTATATTATAATGAAGTATTTATAATATACTAAATGAATATCTTGATACCATCATAAGCATGTAATTATGCAGTGATCATTCTTAGTCCAATAATAAAATTATTATAAAATTATGGTAGATATTAATGGTTTATTTGATGATTGGAAATTTTTTGCTATTTTGTTCTATGGTGATCATTCTTAAGCTAAATTGAAATTATAAAATTGTGATATAGTATCATGTTTTATTTGAAGATGTTAAAGGAAAATATATTTTCAAGTTTTAGTGGTTTATAATTGATTTATACTAATTAAAAAAATCTATATTTCATTCTGAAAAAATAAATTATTTCATTGTATCACATTAACTTAAAATGAATTCTTTAATAATCTAATCCAACCAGAGTATATAATATTTTCTATATTAATAGCTCCATGTGTAAATTAAGTTCCTAAAATTTTTCTAAATCTCAAAATGTATTTAATTTCTTCTGCAATATAAAGATGATGCACATTTACTATAAAAACCCACTGAAAACAAGTAGAATATTGATTTAAAAGAGAAACCCAAGCTTCCAAATTTGTGTCTTCTACCATTAATCATGGTTTACAAACAGTTTTAGATATCCAATGAATACTTGTGTGGTGAAGGAATTGATGAATGGGAATGAAAACACTGAATTTGTCTGTGTGATGATGCTTAGTGGTTAAGAGTCTCTAATCCCCATACGTAGGTCAATATACACTAGACCCACCCACAAACACCTCCGGAGGTGTGTAATTGTACATGCTACTTTCCCTTGTAGTTTCCTTTCTGATTCATATGATAATGGAGAACTGACAGAACAGAAAGAAACTCACTAAAGTTTACACTGCAGAGAGGTTGGGATCATACTTATCAGTTTCCTCCTGTGAACTGGGGTTGGTATGTTTTGTAAAACTGTTAAGGAGTAAGGACTAGTGTCAGAGCACCTGCTCCAAAATGGCTTTCTTTTGAGCTCCAATAAACACTGCTTTGGTAAACAGATCCTGGTGTTGCCCCAGGATTCCCCTCCTTATGATAGCGTGGAATCAGAATGTTTATGCAAATCTTTATGGCTCTGAGCATGGTGACTCTCTGCTACAGTTCCTTCACATGAAACAATAGCTCAAGAATTATAACCGAGGGCCTCCCCAGTTTAAAGCACATATTTTTATTTCAGGGGACAAAAGTTCATTTCTCAGTACTCTCATAGCCATGCTGTGCAGCTCTAGGGCATCTGATGCCCTCTTCTGGTCATGGCAGATATAGTAAGCATGTACACATACCCACCCTCCCTCACGCAGACACATATGCATATACATATGCATAATAAAATAATTCTTCAAAAAGGAAATATTTTGAAAATAAGTAAAATATTGCATTAAAATGTTCTAAAAGTGTAATACTAAAATACAAAAGGGTATATATTATGTTCTTTGTAATAAAACAACAGGGTTCTAATCCTTAGTTCATTGCTCAATGTGTGGACCTGGACTATGCAAATATTGCATGGCATCTTGTAACAAATTAAATATGATATGATATACACAGGGATATGAGATACAACAAATAAAATAATGATCCCAGGTTATAACTGCATCCAATAAATGAAAACTACTGCAGTGTGCACTGAAACAGATCATATTTTCTAGACATTATTTTGGCTATTATATTGATATTACTAATGCAAAATGAAGATCTAAAAGCAAGCATGAATAACAGCTTCCTCCGCCTCTTCCTCTCTTCATTAACAGACATGACCCTCCCTTCAGGTAATGTTGATGAGAGCCTGAAACTTGCTGATACTGATTCTCGTTTTCTTGACCAAATATTTCCCATTTTGACAGGCAAGGCTAATATTCACCCATCCTATTAATCGCGCTGAATTTCATTACTATCTGCATTGTCAGATGATTATTCTAACTTAAATGAATGGCTTTAGATGTGATTGTCTTGGAGGCACCTAATAAAACATTCCCTAAGGACACTTTCAAATAATGACAGTATGATTTCTCATAAAAATGTATCATTTCAAAGGCCACCTGAAACTAATCTTTGCCAAAAACAAATGGCCCTACCATAACAGGAGCAGCTGTATTCAATTTTCCACCAATCTATCACATCTCAAGTTTCTAAAGTATAAATAGTATTCAAAGAACATAGGCTGATACTTTAACTTTACTCATCACCCAATGTTGGAAAGTATCAAGACATACCTAGTTATTACAAAGATGATATTACATAATTATAGTATTCAATGTGAAACAAATATTCTTGAATGTCAACTTTGATTAGTGCCTGGAAATAAGAATACAGTGCTGAATGAGACTATTGGAGCAGATACATATAAACAAAATACAACATCTAATTTTGGTTTCAAAATTTTCTGTAGTCATACAGAAATAAGATCAAATGAATTCTTACTGGTTGTCTAAACAGAAAGTCTTCCTCAGATAAGTCCAGGTGTGAGTCTTGAAACCCAGATGCTTCCACATTGAAAGCAGAAGCCAGGTTGAAACCACAACCATTACACCAAACCAATACTTACAGACTGGGATTCTGGTACCCTTTTAATGATTAAAACATTATTGCCTTATCACTGCTTCACAAACCCATGTGGGTTGAGGGTGTGAGAACTCTACTCAGTGGTCAGCAGGACATGGACACTAACACAAGATTTTGAATTGCATCACTGCACCAGTGAGAACCAGCAACACTTAGAAATGAAAGGCCCCTATTCAAGCCAGAGCCACACACAGAACCTCTAAACCTGTTTTGGCCTGTGCAGGCCTGTGCATTGAAGGACAGGTTTGAGCTCTGGCTTACATTATTGGCAGGCTCCAGTTAATCCTGTGTTCTCTGTCCTCTGAGACTGAAATTCCCTGTGTATATCAGACTGGGTATCAACCTACCCATGCCTCAACCTCAGGTAGCGTAGATACCAAGTGCTCACACATGCATTATGTTAGCCTAGCATAAAGCAAGCATGACTCTAATAGTATAGAATCTTGTTTGGTTGGCATCACTGCAAAAATGGACTTCAGTGTATACCTTGTGACTGAGATTCAGGTGAGATCAGTGATTGTTAGTACTGGCAGTCCCCTAGACTAATTTCATTAATATTACCCCATCCTAGGGCAGCACAGTAAAGACAGAACCTTATTCACCAAGGGCATACAGATATAATAAGATATGCTTTTGATGAGTTAGTGAAATGTGATGCTGGGCAAATCTTAATGGCCTCATTCCCAAGTCTTACTATAGAGAGAGCTTCAGTAATGAGCAAAGACATACAGCTCCATGCTATTGGACATCTGGTCCAGCAAGCATCTCTGGTTTTTGGTATAGTGGTATTGAGCCACAAGACCACCTACCTGGTAGACATTCCACAATAGCATTGACTTTGGTCCTTCTTTAGTGTATCTGGTCTTAGTGAGCTATAGTCCTAGGAGGTAACACAGATATGTTTTATTGGTAAAAATGGGCATGAGATAGGAGCCTGAGGATATTCATCCTTGATGGCTATGCCTAGATCCAAATAGAACCCTATAATTGCTAAAGTCATTCCTGTGATGGTGAATTAAGTGACTTGGACTACTCTAACTCCAAGACCAGATTTGTACAGATGAACTACTTCCCCTAGAT